ACATTTGTGGGAAAGCTTCGACAAACTGAGAAAGTACAATATGAAGCTTAACCCTGAGAAATATGCATTCGGGGTCGGCTCGGGCAAGTTCCTCGGCTTGATGGTATCAAATCAGGGGATCGTAATCAACCGCGATAAAATCAAAGCAATCGAAGACATTACACTTGTTGACAATGTCAAGGTTGTACAAAGGTTAATAGGATGAATAGCCGCTCTAGGTCGATTTGTTTTGGGTCCTCAGATAGGAGCCATAGGAGTGTCAACGGGCTTTGGAGGAACTCAAACGGTACCTGTCGAGCCCGCCATTGCTTCACACCCCAAAGGCGGACAAGCAACATTACTTGTACCTAGCGGTCTCGGAGATAGTAGTAAGTGAGGTATTAGTTCGAGAAGAGCAAGGTATGCAATTTTCTGTCTATTATTTCAGTCGGACCTTAGGTGAAGCGGAGTCCCGGTACCCACACTTAGAAAAATTGGCGCTTGCTTTAATAAGAGCCTCTAAGAAATTAAAACCATACTGTCAATGTCACTCAATTTGTGTTGTAACCACGTACAACCTTCACAACATTTTAAACAAGCCCGAACTCTCGGTCCGATTGGCCAAATGGGCCGTCGAGATCAGCGGGTACGATATCGAGTATCAACCCGGAATAGTCATGAAGTCTAAAATCTTGATAGACTTCGTGGCCGACTTCACGCCTACCTTCATACCCGAGGTCGAAATTGAACTATTTATAAAATGGGTTACATCATCGAGGGTGTGTACCCTCTTCACGGACGGCGCTTCGAATGTGAAGGGGTCCGGGTTGGGCATTATTTTGAAGCCACGCACAGGTAATACGATTAGACACTCTATAAAAACTTCTAAATTAACTAACAATGAGGCCGAGTATGAGGTCATGATTGTAGGTCTCGAGTTAGCTATGAGCTTGGGAGCGGAGGTCATCGAGGCCAAGTGCGACTCCGAACTTGTGCTAAATCAAGGCAACAGGACTTTCGAGGTTTGAGAAGATCGAATGCAGAGATACTTGGACAAACTGCAGGTGTCTCTACATCGATTTAAAGAATGGACCCTATAGCACATACCTCGAGAACTAAATAGCGAGGCCGATGCCCTTTCATATTTGGGGTCATCGATCGAAGATGATAAAATTAGCTTGGGGATTGTCGTACAACTGTCAAGGTTCTTGATCGAAGAAGGGCACGCCGAGATAAACTCCACGAGTCTAACCTGGGATTGGAGTAATAGTACATCGAATACCTAATGAATGGGAATCTTCCATCGGATCCTAAAGAATCAAGGACTCTATGCACTAAGGTCGCACGGTTCACTTTGGCCGAAGATGGAACACTGCATAGGAGAATGTTAGATGGACCGTTAGTAAAATTTTTGGGACCAGGAGACACGGACTACGTTCTATGAGAAATTCATACGGGCACTTGCGGAAACCATTCTGGCGCCGAGTCATTGGTTCACAAAGTCATCAGAGCTGGATACTATTGGGATGATATGGAAAAACACACTAAAAGAATTTGTTCGAAAATGCAACAAATGTCAAAGGTATGCGCTGATGATACACCGGTCCGGAGAACAACTCCACTCAGTCCTATCCCTGTGGACGTTCATGAAATGGGGAATGGATATCATCGGCCCCCTACCATCGGCCCCAGGTAAAGCTAAATTCATTTTTTTTATGACTGATTATTTTTCTAAGTGGGTTGAAGAACAGGCCTTCGAGAAAGTTAGAGAAAAAGAAGTCATAGACTTCATCTGGACCACATTATATGCCGGTTCGGAATGCCTGCCGAGATCGTATGCGACAATGGTAAGCAATTGATCGGCAGCAAGGCGAAAAAGTTTTTCGAAGACCACAAAATAAAAAGGATCCTAATGACTCCATATCATCCCAGTGGGAACGAACTGGCTGAATCGACAAACAAGATCGTCATCTAAAATTTGAAGAAAAGACTAAACGAAGCCGAAGGAAAATGGAGAGAAGTATTACTCGAGGTCCTTTGGGAATATCGAACAACATCAAAATCTAGTACGGGCGCAACACCATTCTCTTTAGTCTATAGTGCCGAAGCTCTAATCCCAGTCGAAGTCGGAGAACCTAGCTTCAGGTTTTGGTATGCAATGGAGGAAACAAATCACGAGGCTATGAATCCGAGCCTAGAATTTCTATATGACAGACGGGAGGCCGCCCTCGCTCGAATAGCCACACAGAAACAGCGAATCGAAAGGTACTACAATCGAAGAGCCAATCTTCAACACTTTAAAATTGGGGACTTAGTTCTGAGAAAGGTCACTCTCAAAATTTGAAGCCCAAGCGAAGGAAAACTTGGCCCGAACTAGGAAGGACCATGTCAGGTCCTCAAAATCGTCGAAAAGGGATCTTACAAACATGGCACGATGGACCGAGTAATTACCAAATAATTGGAACATATAACTCCTCAAACGATATTATTGCTAAGGTACGACCTTCTCCTTTTTCCTTTGTATTTTATACTAACCAATTGCAGGTATCTGATCGAAGACATCGAGGAACTCTCCAACACAAAGTACTTAGGTTTTAAAGCACGCGTTGCACTCTTTATCCCTTGGACCGGTTTTTGTCCCAAGTGGGTTTTTCCGGTGAGGTTTTTAACGAGGCAACCATTATTTGTGCTACCTTGAGGCAATTCAACAGTATCCAAGGTTTCTTTACAATCAACCACGAATACTGGGGGGCATCACCCTCGGATGTTAACTTTGTTACAAGAAAGGTACTTCGTGTCAACAGGGTCTCGATAGGAAAAACTTTGTAAGGGCCAAGCGGTCAAATGAACCGTACCCATGTAGATTACTCGAGCCCTAAAGACAAACATGTACACATGTATAAACTATTGTGAGAAGTATTTTTCCTTGCCAAATATTTCATGCATTAGAGAAAATTTTACTTTACAATTTCATACTTTTGGTCTGTTGCGGAAACAAGCTTCAGGGCCGATCACAACTGAAGTTCGAACAACTTACCCCGTACACGGCGACTGCTATCCGAAAAATTGATATAATCGAACTACTAAAATCTCGAGATCAAAAGAACTTATAAAGGAAATCCTCATTTTTATAGGCCAAGGCCACCCCCACTCGGGGGCTGACACTTCGAACAAGTTCGAAGAATAATCGGGAAACAAGCCCGAGAGGCAAATCCCAAATCAAAAAGTACGGCCAAACCAACACGGCTCGGAGAAATCCGAATTCCGTAATTGAATAGGTCTTCAAATATTTTCATAAAACTGGTTTAAAAGGTTACCCTCGGTAAATTTATAAAGGGTTTCGATCAAATCAACACTCGAAAACCCTAAAGGGTAACGAATTGTTCGAACTACCAAACAAGCTTATATAACGCTAAGGCATAACGAAACAAAGGGTTTCGATAACCATAACCCTCGAAAACCCTAATGGGTACAAATTTATCTCGTGCTAAGGCACGACAAATTTTTACATGATTAACTTTCGAAGCCGAAAAGGGTGAAAAACCATTCCTCTTAAGGCCACATCGGCCTAATTTAAGAGCCTAACATCCATTTTTGGGTTCGAGAAGTCAACCTCACTCGACTAAAATGTCCTATCTCGAGTTCGAACAAGTACTCACTCGATCACAAAGACTACATTAGTTCGACTTCGACCAAATTGCCTAAGCCTTGTACTCATGAACAAGGCATGAACGAAATAGAATTTTCACAAGGCAGAAAATTAAATAAAGAAAAGTCAAGAAGCAAAGAGATCTTTTATACATATGAAAATATTTCCAAGGACTGATCATGGTCCAACACAGAAATTCAAAAAATAAAAATCCTAAGTGCCTAGATTTTCCTCTGGAGCTACATCCTCGCCATCGGGATCTCCTCCGCTCTCAGATCCACTAAAACTCCCGGAATCATCATCATCAGAAGAGAGCAACGCTTTGGCTTCAGCCTTAAGTTCTTTCGCATTCTCGATCTCGACAGCAATGTTAATGCCGTGAGCGTGAATCTCCTCAAGAGTCTCTCTTCGAGATTGGGCTTTGGCATGCTTGGCAACCCAGTATGCTCGAGCCTGAGCAGCATCGGACCCTTATTTCACTCGAGTTTGAGCGGCCTCGACATCAGGTCGGTAGATAGCCGCGATCGCCTCGGTATCGGCCTTAACCATCACAGCCTCAGATTTCACCGCTGCAATCTCCGTGTCCAGCCAAGCATGTAGCTCCTCAATCTTCTTGGCTTGTTCCAAGATCTTCTCTTTCATGCCTGGCTTTCCGCTGAGGATAACTGAGCTTGAGGTGCCTCTTTCTACGAGGCAAGATGATCCATCTTTTTCTTCCACATTGAAGTCTCTGCCTTCACCTCATCTACCTCTCCTCAAAGTTGCACGATCGTTTCATGCAGCCGCTGGACCAGTGAGATCGAATCATTAGCCATCACACCCAAACCGAGGCCATAAGTGTCTAAGACTTTCTTTTACCTGCTCGGTCAACTCACTTTGTTCTTTCCGGGCCATGGCCAACTCAAATCGGAGACGTTTGATTTCTATTTCTTTTTGCTCACCAAGAAGCTTGAGAGCATTTTTCCCCTCGGTAAGCCCTCGAATTTCGGCTTCATATCGGATCAACTCTCTTTGAGTCTTAAAGAATGCCTCATGATGAAGTACCGAGGCCTATAAAGATAGAAGGGAAAGAGTTAGGCAAGAAAGAAAACACAAGTATGGAGATCGGCGTTCACAGAAAAGGTTAGGGCTTACCCGATATCTACAACAAAAATGGCCTTTAGCGGGAATTATTTAGTGGCAATAAGTTAATTGCCGCAAGTTAGTTTTTTGAACTCATATATTAGCGGCATATGTAGATTATCTAGGAGAAACTGCATCTTTATCGGCAATTAATAAGAAACGGCCAGTAAAGATGATACAACTTGTGGGGAAGCTAAATTTTGTCATTTTCCTTCTATTATTTTCTTCGTAAAAAAATGTGTTGCTTACCCATTCACCAAAGCTAATGCAAACACCCAAATCAAAGAAAGAACCCTAATCATACACAACGCCCAATTCGTTTCTCTCTCTAATCTCGATGTTCTCTCTCGCTAGACCTTTTTTTAAACGATCGGTCTCTACTGTGAGAGTTCCGTCGGCCCTCCCCTTCTCGCTCTCACAATGGTCTCGCAACTCTCGTTGTAAGATCGACTACGTTAGAGCTTTCGTGTTGTTGAATGATAAACATTTAAAGCATTTGTTCTGTATTTTGAAATATTAAAGTATCAAATCCCCAAATTTTAATTGATTGTCATACTTCAGTTTTACCAAAATTTAATTGGAACCCGTTTGTTTCTCTAGAGATGTTGGTTTAAACGAATGTTTATATTCTCTTGATTTTTTATCCATAATGCGCCTCAAGTTGTTATGTTTTTCTTCTTTCCTATCTTACTACATGTATTTGAAGGAATTTAAAGTGCACCTTTCTCTGGTTTTGTTGCTTAGCCTTTTATGGAGCATCAAAGACTAGCAAAGTATATTGCGATCGGGAGTAAAGTATGTATTTATGATTTTCTTCTTAATGTTAAGACTGTTTTTAGTTCAACTGGTAGTTATTGACAAGAATAATTAATATTACAGTTTTGTTAGTTTTGATACTATTATCTTTAGTTCTATAACCAAATTTTCGAATGTCGAGTGCACATTATGATTTACTACTAAGAGAATCTGTATGGATGTAGCTACTACTAGAAAGAAAAGATACTCTGGTTCGATAAAAGTTGAGAATTAACGAAGTTACGTTTAGGATCAAGTATCAATTCATTAAACTTTTGTAGAGCATTTTCTATCGATTACTTTATAAATGAACAAACCAGATCTCGTGGGAAAAGAAACTAGATAATCAGAAATAATAGTTAAATTTATATCTATATATAGCTAGAATAGAATAGGTGAGTTGCACTAGTTCGATTTTCTAAAGTTCTAGTTCTCCTTTTTAGAACTTTTCCATTTTATTTTTGCTTGGTTAGTCCATCATCAACATTCTCTTGTTGCAAAAGAATAAAAATATTGTGTATAGAAAATGTATCGGTAGATTTCAGATATCTTGTTCTTTTTTTTTTTTGGATTCAAGTACTTCTTCTCTGGCTTCTTTGTTTCTTAATTCATGTGCAAAGTCTTGATGCCCTCCCCCTTACATGAATTTCATGCTATTGGTATGCTACACCAAATCATTAGCAATGACAGCCTCTAGATTGAGATTTTGAATATCACTGCTAATGGTTGAGATGAATTTCTTGATCATTGGATAACGTACATGTATAATGTTTGATTTACATTGTCCTACGTACGGTTTTTAATCTGAATTTTTTTGTGCTAGATCTGAAGATCCATGAAGCAGCTTTGATCACATGGAACCATATTGCTTTGCCACAGTTATGTAATGACCTCCAAGTTAAGCTACGACTCCCTTTGATTAACATTCAGTTTCATGGTGCCTACCTACTAGAATGCGGAATGCACTGTACTTATAGTGATAATCTCTTCTCTGAAGAATATTTTATGTCAGAAGCTATCTAAGTGAATGGTATTCTTACTTTACAAGAGTTTTTTTATAGTTTGTGTTACCGTATGAACTGTGAAAGAATGGCTCTCCTCGTAATTGCCCGGAAGAAGACAATGAAACTTATTTTATCCAAAATTGAGCGCAAATTTGATAATATCATACCATTTGTTAGATAGAACTAGTTGTTTACCTCGAACAATGAGTAACAATTAAATTTGATTTGTGGTTTTAAAGATATGTGATTTAGTTCAATGCTGATCAATAATCAAGAAATAAGAAGTAGAAGTGAAAGAAAGAAGTGAATCAAACCAATGTGATTCAGCAGTAGTGATCTCAAGCTTAGTGACCTCGAGATGGATTAAGAGCAATAAAGTAACAACAATAAATGTAAAGGACAATGCTGATGAACGGTAAGAGAGAAACATAGGATAGTATACTCTTGCCAATGATGAGATGATGTTACAAATGATTGGGGTCCCCCTTATATAATAGGGAAACCCTAAATAAGGTATATTTCTATTTACAGTAAGGAATATTCTTCATACAACTGTCTAACCGCCTAGTACGGAATCGTACAATCTTATTCCGGGATTTACGCCATGATCTAGGGGATGTGGCAGGAATCTAGCTCAATCTGTTACAAATCCATAACGGTAATATTTCGGGGTCGAGCATACTCGGCCTCGGTATGCATCGTGCTCTGTCTTCGACCTTGGGTCTGGTCCCTCGAACTCGAACTTGATCTTACCTGAACTCGGGCTTTGGGCGATCTCTTGAGCCTATAGATCAAAGGCATACAATCTCGACCGTATACATATAGTCCCCACGTTTCTTAGAGTAAGATGATAAGAAACAATTTGGACCTCGATTCCCCAGAGTCTATTATGATGATGTCATTCCCGTGACGTAGGCGCTCGAAGTGACTGAAATGTCTCGTCAGCCCGTTTTCCCAAAACATTAAATGCACGCCAGTACTGGTTGGCCACTAGCGCCGCCGAACCGTCGTCGCCCTTTTATAAATATGAGGCTACTCCTTTGAATAAAGAACTTTATTCTTTTGTCACATCTTTCCCTTCTTCATCTCTTTCTTTAGTCATCTGTTTCCACCGCCCCTTTAAGTGCCGGAAAATGCCAAGTTCTCGTAAAAACACCACGTATTGCTACTGCTCGTGTTTTTTAGCTTAGAATCATGGCTAGAACTTCAGAATCAGTTCCAAAAAAAAGATGAAGCGTCGTCTTCTTCTACATCTCGGCCGGCCAAACCCGTGGCATCGCCGACTCTTGAAAAAATCACCCCCGGCCCTTGCGTGATTAAGAAGGACTTCAATATTCCAAATCCCCCCAAATCCCAGGCCGATGCGAACATGTATCCTGATATAGTTGTTCGATATCGAAAAAGTACATCAAAGCCATGAAGAGGGACTGCGGTTGGGGAGACGAGGTACTGATTAACATCCCGAGCCCCAAGGAAAGCATCACTACCCACGTGGAGGGGTCTTTAAGTGTTTACACTTACCCATTCACACTGGGTCCCCTCTATTACATCCCGCATATTGGTACGTTAAAGCCAAGTCGTAAGATTAATTGATGTAAGTTCGGGAATGAGATTATTTTGGAATTATAAGTATTACGCTATTTCAAACAAGTGATAAGCAAATCCGTGAAGGTGAAGGGGTAAGCGAATCGAAGAAAATGAGTTACGTCGAAGTTTGTCAATTTGGGACAAAATACGGTCCGAGCTATAATATCCGGTATTTATGGACTAATGCCATACAAGGTACCACATGACCATGATAGTAGGTGTATAAGGTATGCTAAAGTTAATAGTATTTTAAGTAATTTGAGATAATTCGTAATTATGTGGGTAATTGGGTTACTTATTGATTTTGGTGGGAATATTAACTAAGAAATTAAAAATTTATTGGGATAAAGATTAAGGACACCTAACGCGGCAGCCCTTGCCTTAGGGAAATGGTGACTACTAAGTTCACATAGAAGGTGTCTATAGTTGGGAAAGTCTTTGGCCAAGTAACCCCTATCAAGTGGGGCCCACACCGTTATAGTAAGGAGCCTTTCAAATTCCTTCATTCATTTGAGGAAAGAAATAGTATGGATCTGCCATGACATACATGAAATCTACATGAACATTTCATTAGTTGGATATTTCATTAAGTTGGATATTTTATTAAGTTGGACATGAAATCGTATGGATCTGCTTTCAACATTAGTTGGATTTCTACATGAATATCTCATTAAGTTTCAAATGGAGAAATGTTTACATCTAATCTACATGGCAACGTGAGTTACTGTAATCGCTTCAACATTTCATACGAAGGCTATTTAATACAATAGCAACGGGATTTTGCGATTCTAAGGGAGTACGATTAAATCTTTCTCAAGAATATCATACGGATTATTCCCTACTTCGATCCGTCGTTACGTGTTTCGTCGCAATTGGCATGTCTCAATGATTTTCAAGAGAATCGTTTCAGGTATGTTAAGGATATCCTTTCATTCTTTTTGGCATGATGTATACGACACGAACGAAACGAGCAAATACACAAATTCCATACATGACTATATTCATAGAAGTATTAGAGATGTCTATGCTTTTGAATTCTCATATTTCTTATTATTCTATCGTCTGTTCTTGGGTCTCATAAAATACGTGATATTAATTAGAGGTATAACGGTCTTATGACGTTCTGAGAGATTTTATTGGCGTACTTCTCATGCATTGCATTCATTTATACATGTACATTGACCCATCACCTGACGATGTTATATACGCGTATATATATATATATATATATATATATATATATATATATATATATATATATATATATAT